GGGGTACGGGTACTCGGACAAGTCCAAGTGTTTCTGCATTTGACACAAAACTATCAGAAATGTTCCAAAAGGAAAAGTGTGGATGGCATCTCTTATACGTCCATGTAAGACTGAGAGATTGTATTTACTGTCTGCAGTAGACAACCCCCATATACAAAGATATCGTTACCCCCCTCATATGGCCTCCGTTAAGTATGAAAAAAATGAGTTATTAACCACGCGTAGGATGACGGATGGAGGACGCAGGTGCGTGGGGTGATATTTCAAACCCATCAAGTCTTAATGAGAACGCTATTTAGAGGTTAAATATCTCCATGTTTTATTAACAGACCATCAAGATGTCTTCAGTCAGAGTCGTGATCCAGACGAACAAAGGGCGACCACGCTGTAATTGCCTACTTTGTACTAACTTTCTATAAAGTAGGCTTCTAAGCATACAGGCTACCTGGTTTCGTTTTTCTAGTATCCCTTTCATGAAATAAATTGTTTAAGTTCAACAAGAAAATTCTTTGCGTTCTTTGAAAAGGATTCCTCTCTACATCCACCTGTGTGGATGTTCTTTATTGAAAGTACAAGGTATCAAATAGAGACTGTAGTTAAACTGCGGTTAAGATGAATAGACATCAGAAAACGTTACAAAGAACTTCGGACCAAAACACGTGGTAGCATGCCACTCACTCCAGTCCAGAGTAAAGGCATAATGTATTTATACTCAGGTATGCATATACACGTGTCCCGCCTCCCTCACACTGCCCGGCCACGATAGTATCACACAGCGGTTTCGGTTTCGTTTTGTAAATTTCGTGGATGACTGACGAGTGCGGTATACTCAATCATCGATAAATAACATTTGTAAGTTTTGAGATTGTATTTATAAAAATAGATTTACCCTTAACTCCATGAGGAGCCAATCACTTTCAATCTGTTCTATGTTAACTCTGACAACACAATGTGGATTGCAATCAAGCCTATGCTATTTAAAAATTTAGACCAAATATTTTGTTTTAAACGCTGCATTTGCTAGACTTTTCTCCAGGTAAGAATATTCAGCTGTAACCTCGTTTATGGAATCACAAAAACACGGTAACAATTATCGATTTTTGATCAATAAGAGCGACAACTTACCTTTCTGGAGTCCATTCCACCGTATGATAACCTTGTAACTCTATAACGACGTCAAAATCTGACTAAGGTATAGAACAGTAGAGAGACTCAGCGAACGCTTCCACATACCTCTACTATCCATCAAAATGTGCCGAAAACGTTTTTTACAGCTCGTAATTATGAAGTCACGGTATTAATCGGCCTCGCATACCTGTACGCTGCTAGACTACGTGGGAAAACGGTGTCTTCTTCATTCTCACGTGCCTCCTCGTGGTCTTCAGGCAGCCGCCTTCAAACACCCGCGGCTAGGAACAGGACATTTGCCAAGACGGGGGACTGCTGACATCCGTTAAGAAGCCTGAGGCTTGAAGCAGAGCGATTTTTGCTAAAAATCTTAAAGCAGGGCATTGCCTTTTAGGAGACTTTTAAGGCCAAAGGTATATCGCACTTTAAGAGGCGTTATCGCATCTGCACGCGCACGCACACACGCGCGTACACATATGTATAACTTAAGCTTTCTTGACAACCCATGTGTATAGATGTGCAAACGCGCGCATGCACCACGTAAGCGAATGTTGCTTTACCAGTGAATGATTATTAGTATGTGCTTTGAAAAGAAACCGTGATTACTTTAATACTGACTTACTCACGTGTAAACTTGCACGCACTAGCAAGCATACATGCGCACATTTCCAACACAGCGCTGTATGAAGCTTAAAAATACAAACCCTGTCCAGTAATATTGCTAAGCTTGTCTTCGCGTTATTGCAGCAAAGTCACCATGTGCGCATGCACGTGCACGTTACTGTTCACGAGCTCCAACATACACATGCGCAACTACACAAACTAAAACAAACGTAAATAAGCAAAAGCCAAAGGTGATCAAGATGAGAAATTTGGTGAAAATTGTCAAATGTCCACCGAGAGAAGTATTTTTGACTTTATTCGAGTCCACACGGAACAATATGACTACAAACTCAAAATCACGCGGGGGAGGGGGGAGGGGAGTGACTGCTTTAAACGCGGAAGATCCCCCC